CCAAAACATTCACATGATACTGGTTAACTCAGTTTATAGCAATTAAAATTTTATGTCAGTCAGGTTTGTTTGTTCAACAACACACGACTGTTTCCCTCAAATTACTATATTACATGTTTATTGCAAGTAACTAAGCCTTCCTGTAAATGTTCCCTGAAACATACAATCCATACTGTTCTCACTGCTTTTCTAATTACCTCAAGAACCTCGGGGTGATACAGTAGATGCTTTTGTTCTCCCACCGAGCCCCCCCGTTCCTCCTCTGTTTTCAGAAATCACTTTACCACATTGTTGAAGGGGAAAGTGCAGAGTTCCTGTTTCACACATTCAGATCTGAGTCGTCTCTGTTATTTGGTCTAGAAGGCTCCTTGGAAAAAGGTGTCAAGTCTCCCCACTTGGTGTTTTCCTCATTAGTTTCCCTCTTTTGTCCGAACAGGTACTACGCAGTGCTCTACCCGATGATCTACCCCATGAAGATCACAGGAAACCGGGCCGTCGTGGTCATCGCCTACGTGTGGCTCCACTCTCTGATTGGCTGTGTGCCTCCTCTGTTCGGCTGGTCCTCCTTCGAGTTTGACTGCTTCAAGTGGACCTGCGTTGCGTCTTGGCACAGAGAGCCGAGCTACACAGCCTTCTGGGTCAGCTGGTGCATCCTCCCGCCGTTGATCATTATGCTGGCCTGCTATGGCGTCATTTTCCGCGTTGCCCGCATGAAAGCTCGGAAAGTCCACTGCGGTACGACCGTAGTGGCTCAGGACGACTCCACTGGGGCTCAGAGGAACGGACGCAAGAACTCCAGCACCTCAACTTCCTCTAATGGAAGCCGGCGGAGCCTTGTGTACGCAGGGAGCCAATGCAAGGCCTTTGTCACCATTTTAGTGGTGATAGGCACCTTCCTGGTGACGTGGGGGCCGTATGTCGGTGTGGTGTGCACCGAGGCTCTGTGGGGACAGGGGAGTGTATCTCAGGGGCTGGAGACTCTGGTCGCATGGCTTTCCTTTTGCAGCGCCGCGTGCCACCCGCTCATCTATGGTCTGTGGAATAAAACGGTGAGGAAGGAGCTGCTGGGGATGTGCTTCGGAGACCGCTACTACAGAGAGTCGTTTGCTACCCGGCAAAGGACGTCCCGACTCTTCAGCATCTCCAACAGAATCACAGGTGGGAGAGTTTCACGTGCAGCTCAGTATGAATGAGGATGTTGGTATTTCTCTGACAAACTAAAAACCTTTTGACTTTTTATGACAATTGAAGTTTACCACAGGTTCTCCTTCATGTTTGGAAGGGGAGGGTGAGGTGATGGGTATTCAGCTGCAACATGCAACTTCACCACTAGATGTTACTAAAGTTTACACACTGAACCTTTAAGATATCATATTTTCCTAAATATGATTAATTAATTCAGAGTAATTCAAGTATATTATGTCCATGTATAATGTTTTGCAGTGTTGTTTATTTGATGTTGATTTGTATGTTTGATGATGTATTATTTTCTTATGACAAGAATTTGCTTGTGCTCTTTCAGACTTGGGTATGTCTCCGCACCTGACGGCCATGTTGGCTGGTGGAGGGCATCTGTTGGCCCCTGGGAGCAGCACAGGAGATACCGGCTTCAGTTTCACTCAGGACTCGTGTAAGTGTTGCACACAGGAAGCAGCGGGATTAAAAAAGCCAAGTCCCCCTAAACCATCCGATATTCAAATTCTACATAGCATATACTAATACATGAAAATAACTGGACTATACACAACAAGTTTAAAGTAACATTTGTGATGGTTCAGAACGGGTCAGTGGTCTTCTGCAGATCAGTGTGTACTCACTTTGTTACATGTGATACAGGCAACACAACACCTGATTTCAAGACCGGATAACAAATTATTGTCATTCTGAGAATCTCCTGTCATTTTCAGTGACTAGAAGATGCTTTAAACCAATAACATAACAACCACTACTTCCAAAATTATGTTCAATAAACTCTGTGTATTTCACAAGTACAAGTATATAATATACTAATCAAATACACTTTTTTTTGTGGGGTTGAGTTTGCTTAAATGTCTCGACCATAAAATCTAAAGATTATAAGATTTCTCTAGCTGCAAACAATGTTTTCACATGACCACAAACTCAGCAAGAGCTGCAACTTACTATGATTCATTATATTCTCTTAGGGTTTTCTAAGTTGTCCATAAACAATCCATACAATTTTCAATTGTATAAAACAGAGAAACTGAAAAATGGGAAGTTTTTTACCTGACTACAACCGTCTGTGGCCCAGTGATATTTCATATGACGAGTTGTCACTTGGTTAATGACTACTGATGGTTATTACCAGTAGAAGCTGGAATGTTTCATTCATTCTGTGACATTGGGTCTATTCTACTTTAGAAAACTCTATTAAAATAAAATGGAGACAACGTCATAAACATGAGGTGTGAGAGGTCTTACTAACCCTATTGCGTCATTCTCCCCCAGCTTTGTTACCGTAGGCTTCACATTCCTGTGTCACAGCTCATGTTTTCATTTGATGATGGCATGAATGAGACAAGTAATGTCATGTGTAAACATACAAATGTCCAATTATCTAACTCTTTTCTGTACCTGTCTGGTTCATCATTAGTTTAAGAATGTTTTCCCTTTTACACTTTATTGTAAAGTCTTTCTTTCGGTGAAGTGAGTGCAGAAGGATTTTTGTTTTTCCTCCACAGGCACAGACGTGATGCTGCTGGATAACTTCTCTGTTGACGGCTCCTCCCAACCACAGCAGCACGGGAATCTGTCCGGAAAGAGGAGGAGCTCAGTCACATTTGAAGACCAGGTGGAGCATTCCAAAGGTATCTTTTAATTTCCTCTCTTTCACCAAAGATAAGAAAGGGGGGTTAACGTCGCACTGACTGATGATTGAAAAATAACTCAAGATTAGTTCACAAATAATTCGGTATCTACACTTTTCTCCACAGCTGAAAGCCACAACGCATCCTCGGTCCAAGTCCACGCAGAGGTGCACAAATCTCTCGACACTTTTGCCTCCTGCCTGGCGAAGGCCATAGAGAGTGACGCTAAGCTCACTCTGTTTGGCGAGGGCCTGGCTCTGCCAGGGGGACTGTTTGTGACGAGGGCGGTGCCGAGACCCAGATACTTGGACGGTCAGAGACTGAGGCTGGAGAGCATTGATGAAGGGATCGTCAAAGACGACAGAGATGAAGAAGAGCGGGACGTGGAGGAGAAACCTGCATGAACGATGCGGCTCGTCTGGTAACTTGTCAGACATCATTCCACTATACTCAGTTTATTATCAGTGAACTGTGCTGGTTTCACACCCTCGGCACTATTATGTGACCTGTCAGAGCGGAGCCTGTCCTGCTCTGTTCTGCAGATGATAAGGTCTCGGACACCGTACTTGAAATGATAAGAGGTACGTTGACACTTGACGACACGCACCAGCAGTTTTTTTCAAAGCTTTTATATGGATTCATGTCATCACATAGGAGGCCTTACCCACTGTCTGAATGGTCTGATGTAGGAAGTAGTTTACTACATATTATTATTGTTATTGTTTGTCCTCAGAATCAACAGGAACGTATGCGACATCAGGACTGAGCTGTATGAAACAAATTCTATCTAACACCGTGATCAGGTCCATTTCAAACTTTATTAACATACAGACAAGTTTGTTTGGAGCTCAGTTTGTCTGTTGTCTAGAAACAGATCAGGAGCCAATTTGTGCTTGTACTGCACTTCAGTAGTTCACAAACCCGCTGTGTATTAGTTTGAATGACAAGAACGTGATGCTCAGGGGGATTAGAGGGTGTTTTCAACATCAATTCAATATCTGCAGATTATTTACATGATTATTTATTTGTCTATAAAATGACAGAAAACAGGAGGAAATTCCTGTTATACCCAACTCTACATAACATATAGAAATTCAGTTTACTAGCAAAACAGTTGAAACCATCAAACGTTTGGTGTTGTTGCCTAAATAATTCAAATGAATTGGTGTGAATACAGAATGAATTGGTGTAGAAACAGATGGATTGTGTTCGTACTGCTCAGCCCTTAGCTTCACTATATCAACACAATCTGTGGCCCAACATCTCCAGTGTTAGAAAAGTATATAAAGTGTGTTGCCTGTTGTGTAGACATCTGCAGGGACAGCGCTGACATTTCATGCTTATCTGCGACAGACGACTGTGGATGTACCACAGTGATTGCACTTGAACGTGTGGCACCTGCTCGTTCCCACAGAAACCACTCTGGTGTCACGTTGGAGGAGGTGATTCTTACTGTTAAGTCAGTTTTATTTCATATGTAAAGCAGAATAATAGCAGATTTGGATGAGGTAAGAGGAGAACAGAGTTATATTAATGGCAACACATTAGCAAGGTCCCACGTTTCATATCGTGGAGCTACTGTGACAACGTCAGAAATGAATGACTGTATTTTCCTTCATCGGTCATTAAAAGTCAACTCACTGAAAAATAAATTGAATGCATTGTTGAATCAGACAGGTAAAGTCTTAATGAAAAGTAAAGGTCTTTAACTACAAAGATTTCTCTTATTATGTAGTCGGCTCATGTACTTTTACCTCAGTTTCTATGCTCCACCCTTTCCTTCACTGTCATTAAAGGAAGTCTGATATTTATGAGTAGAGCACGACTTCAGTGCTTCAGTCTTACCTCGTATTTTCATACTATGTTTGCACAGGTACTACTTTTGTAAGAAAAAGCTGTGTGTGATGTAACCTTTTGATTTTTACTATACAGAAAGTATTAATACCCATATTTGCATTAAAGTTTTGTATCAAGATTCTTATATTAAAAGTTGTTGTTTTTTTAACTTAAAAATATCTGCACAAGGTTTTCGTACTTGTTATGAGCTGCTGGGATTTGAAACACATCTGCAATTCAGATTATTACCAAAAGCCTCAGAAAGTTTGAAACTCTTTCTGAGATGCTTTTTTTTTCTTGTCTGTCACAAAGGATTTCCTTATTGACAGATGAACTTTGTTGTATTCTGTAGTTTCATATATATCTTGGTGACTCTTGATGTGTGGATTTAACCACTTCAGGAATCTAATGTGCAACCATCGTTTAAAAAAAAAGCATTTTAATTAATTCAAACTACATTTGGTTGATTTTTTTTAACACATAAACTCAACATCTTTAAGAAGCCATTTCGCTTTATTTTTTTCCAAATGTTGTAAAAGATAATAATTTAGTAACAACCCTTTGAGAAGAAGTACAGGGGAGTATTAGAGCCACTTTAACAGGAACAAAAATCTGAGATCGAGAATAAGGTCGTAATATTACTATCACTTCTATGAGAATAAAGTCATAATTTTTGAATGTGTCATCTTTGAAGGGGAGTATCAGAACATCAGCCTGCTCCTTGTGTCGAAATGAGGAGTGTGATTATGGGATGTTGTGTTCTGCGTCTTTTTCTGAGATTTCATGATTTCTCAAAAAAAATTAGATTTTTATACCAAAACTTTGAAGGCCTAAAACTCAGGTTCTCCCTGCTTGTAATTTCCTTAAAAAAAATCTTTATCATAATATTTTGACTTATATACTCAAGACTATATTATGACTTTTTTCTCATTTAAATATATAATTTAAATATTACGTTATTCTCGAAATGAATTCTTTTTTCTTCGATATGGCCCTAATACTCCGTCAGAGATCCACAGCTTTGTTTTTTTTTTTCCTCTTCAACAACAAAAATTGAACATTTTTCAAAATGTGTTTTACTGAAACTCCTTGTTCACATGCGTAACTGCCGCAGCAGCACATCAACATCTCTTAGCTTTGTGCTACAAATTCAAAATGTCACACGTTAACACTGATCAAATTTCACTCTCTCCTAACAAAATATTGCACATAACATCCTCTCACACCAGCCGCCGTTATTCTCACACATAATA